CTGCTGAACTAAAGTAAAAAACCTAGCTGCTGCTGAAGTCTGGTCTCCCTGGGTAATTTTAATTGGAGGATAAAAACCAGGAGCAGTTTGCAAACAGCAAAATTGTCCCAAGAAAGATTAGTTTGATTTTGGGAACATCAGGAGTATTAAAAAGGAAAGACCACTGTCAACACCTATGGAGTGAAGAACAATGAGTCATCAAGTCAATTGACTCATTGAGTTGTCTGAATAGTAATGCAACAACAGCTGTCCTATAGATCAGAAATCAGAGCAGTGCGCTTCTATCCCAGGCAGAAAATCGGGTTCCTGCTTAATATACACAACCCAAATTTGGGATTCTGAGTTTTGGGGAAAGGTGTGTGTCTGGCTCCGAACCCACCACTGCAAAAATACAATAGTACAGCTTTATACCTATGCAATTTTACTGAAGTCAGTAGAACTGGCTGTGATTTACACCTACATACATGAGATTAGCATATGGCCCACAGCATTCTTATTACATTGAAAAGAAAAAGTTTAGGTATCTGCAGAATTCTTGAATGTTGTAGTAAGAGACAGCAGTGCTAGTAAAGACTAGTTGAATTCGGACACAGCAACACACTAAAATAATGTGAAGTGAATGACAAAGTGTACAATTTCTCTTATTTGTTAGAAATGTATTTGTCATGTGGTTTTTAGGGTAAAAAGTATAGAAAGTTAGACAGAGGGAAATAAATTAATGCAACAGTGGAAGTTTAAAATCCAACTTAAGCAGAAGTTAACATACTATCAGTAACTTCTTTCAAGAATATTTTCACTTAATAAGGAATATGATGTGTCCAGATAGTGCCATTCATGACTACATTTCAGGAAGCCAAGAACAGGGAAATATGCAGAGTATAATGAGTTTACTTCCTTTGGGCACTTTTACATTTGCTCTGGGAGTGGCAAGGATGATGCTTTAATTAGAGTGGCTCTGAGAGCCACTGCATTTAAAGTGCAGCAGTGTCTTGCATATCAGTGTCCTTGTGCTTAAAAATGGTGGTGGGGGCATTTGAACTAAGCTCATTTGAACTTTAGCTCAAGCACCCCCACCACCATTTTTAAGTGTGGGGACGCTGATACACATGATGCAGGGGGTTGCTGGAGCACAGTATTTACCACGCTCCAGCAGACTCAATTATTCGAGTCTGCTTCAGTGCTGTAATTATAGCATTGGAACAGCCTTTCTGCTTGTGTACAGGCACCCTTTGTTACCAGTTCTCAAAACTGGTTCATCAAAACTATGGCAGCTGCTGCATTGAGAAAAGTCCTTAGTATTGACCTTCCTTATTACTGTTGGCTTCATGAGTACTAAATTTAATACACAAAAATGTTAATGAAAACAGTAAAATAGAGATGGATATTTCAGTTTCAAATATTAATTATAAAGTAATTATAATTTAACATGAAATGAAAGTGGTACTTTAATCCAAATTTCTCCAAATGTAATTTTAGAATAATTATGTACTGGTGCTAGATGTGATATCAAAATTTCTCACTGAAGTTTAAACATAGCTAAGCTTAACATCCACTAAATACCAGTAGATGTGACCCAGTATCAGATTTGCATTTGCTTTTTGTACCACATATTCTGAGAATAGAGGTGATTAGTCTTGTTAGTCTGACGTCAGGCAGAAGGTAGGCAGGGACTGGAAATTTCTTAGCTGAAGATGACTGGATGATTGTCTTCCATGATTGCCTTATCTGTGGGTCTGACGATGGCTGACAAGACCAGTCTGTTCAATGCAACTCAGAACCCTTCCTGCAAAGCTATTTTCAGTTACAGCGGGGAGCTGTCTG